GGGCCCCACCCTCCCTTGCCTGGGCCCTGAATTCTAAGCGGGGAGGGCTCTGCTGAGCGAGCCAGGGGCTCCCCCTGGTGGAGAGACTGGTGTGGGAGCTGCCTGAAGGTGACTTAAGGGCCGTCCAGGGGAACACACCCTTTGGGCCTCCGCCAGGCCCCCAACCTCCTGGACGTCCTTGTGGAGTTAGGCTTCGTGCAGTGCATGGCCTGCCCAGCCCCGGGCGGTGGCCCTCCGCGGAGTCCACCCCGTGAGCCCCTTGCCCCTGCCACAGCCCCTGTGGGCTCCTGGTTCACAGTGGCCCTGCTCTCCCCCAGGCTGGACCCAGGACGTGAGCCCGGAGGCCATGAAGGCCTTCCAAGACTTCTACCCCACCGTGGGGCTCCCCGAGGACATGGCAGTCATGCTGCCCAAGTCAGGTACCCACTCAACCCATCTGTCCCCGCTGGGGTCGCCCGCGGGCTGCCCCCCGAAGGGAGAGGGTTTGGGCATTGAGGGGCGGGAGGGTCTCTTGGCCCCACTGTTCCATGGCCCTTGGCCCCATGGCCCCCAGCAGGTGGGCGGGCGGGCATACGGGCCAGCTCAGCTCTCACAGCCCCCTTCCTTCCGCAGATGCCTGCTCCCCAGGGAGCAAGGGGGCACCCTGACCCTTCAGGCCACACCTCGGCCCTTCCCGGGTAGGCAGCAAAGCTCTCCCTCGGCCCCCTCCTGGAGAGGCCCTGTGAGGGCCACCCTCCCCCAGTGGCTCTCTCCACCCTGCCCCCGGGTCCCCCTCCCCCCAGTTCCCTCCCCCTCAGTTCCCTCCCTGTCTGGGTCCCCAACCCATTTTCCCTGCTGCCTGCTTCTCCCCCTCCTCTGTTCTCCTGCCCCCCTCTTCCCCAGCCACCTGGCTCCCTCCCACCCCTTCACAGCCCCCCGTCCCCCCACTGTTTGACCCACTTGTGCATTTGCAGAAGTTTTAGGAACAGAGTTGGCCTTGTGGGTGATGCGTGAATTGTGGGGCACCCTGCTTGTGGCGTGGCAGCAGGGCCAGCAGGTCGGGGTGCCTGAGAAGTGTTTGTGGAGTCATGGGGGTAACCATGGCCTTCGCTGTCTGCACAGTCGGAGCAGTAGACTTCGTCACCCCGGAGAATAAGGGGTCCCCGAGGATGCGGGACTCCTCCCTGCTGCTGCCAAGCCTCGGGCGGCCCCTCCTTCCCCTCCTCCGTCCATCCCCGCCCCTCCCTTCCACCCAATAAACAGACTTCAGCCTGAGGCTCCTCGCTTCTGTGGAGGCATCCACACTGGCCCTGTCACGGCTCCAGGACTTGCAGACGGCAGTACTGTCTGCACTCCAGGGGAGACCGAGGCAGGCGGGGTGTGGAGGGGCGTGGAGGGGAGTCTGGCTGCGGGGCTGGGGACTCTGGTCGAGCTGGGCACATGTGGGGTCCTGACTGAAGGCAGTGCTAAGCGCCCACTGCCTGGTACCCATGAGCCGCGTCGCCTGTGGGAAGACCGAGGCATTTAGCGAAGACAGGCCCTGGGCGCTTCCCCCAAGAGGGCCGGAGGAGGTGGGCATCACGGGGCTGTGGGGTGTGCTCCTATGGGTTTTATTAACTAATTATTTATTTATGGTAAATTGTTTGCTGTTGTAGGCGCCATTGAGTTGGTTCCGACTCATGGTGACCCTGTGTGCAGCAGAACGAAGCCCTGCCCGGCCCTCTGCCGTCCCCGTACTTTAACCATTTTTAAGTGTACAATTCAGAGGCATTAAGCATGTCCACCATGTTGTGCAACTTTCATCACTATCCGTTTCCAGAACTTTCCATCACCCCAAACAGAAACTCAGTACTCCCTTAGCAACACCCCCAGCCCCCTCCTTCCAGCCCCTGGTCATCACTAATAACTTTTGGGTCTATGGATTTGACTATTCTGGATCTTTCCTGTAAGTAGGATCATATGATCGGTGTCTGTCTTAGTCATCTAGTGCCGCTGTAACAGAAATACCACCAGTGGCTGGCTTTAACAAAGAGAAGTTTATGTTCTCACAGTAGAGTAGGCTAAAAGTCCAAATTCAGGGCATCAGCTCCAGGGGAGGGCTTTCTCTGTCGGCCTTCTCATCAGTGTTCCCCTGGACTAGGAGCTTCTCTGCGCAGGGACCCCAGGTCCAAAGGACACACTCTTCTCCTGGCACTACTTTCTTGGTGGTATACCGGTTGCAGTTGAGTCGATTCCGACTCATAGCGACCCTAAAGGACAGAGTAGAACTGCCCTATAGTTTCCAAGGAGCGCCTGGTGGGTTCAAACTGCCAACTTTTTTGTTAGCAGCCGAGTTCTTAACCACTGCGCCACCAGGGTTTCCTGCTGGTGGTGTGAGGTCCCCCTCTCTGCTTGCTTCGCTTTCCTTTTATCTCTTGTGAGATAAAAGATGGTGCAGGTCACACCCCAGGGAAACTCCCTTTATATTGAATCAGGGATGTGACCTTAGTAAAGGTGTTACAATCCCACCCTAATCCTCTTTAACATAGAATTACACTCACAAAATGGAAGACAGCCACACAATACTGGGAATCATGGCCCAGCCAAACTGATACACACATTTATGGGGGACACAATTCAATCCATGATGTGTCCTGCATCTGGCTTCTTTCCCTCGATGTGATGTCTTCAAGGTTCACCATGTTGTGGCAGATATCGGGACTTCATTTCTCTTCCAGGCTGAGGACCAGTCCGTTGTATAGATGGAGCACACTGTGTTTATCCACCCATCTGCTGGTGGACACTTGGGTTATTTCCATCTCTTGGACATGCCCAGCAGTGCTGCTGTGGACTCTGGTGCCCACGTGTCTGTCTTTGTCCCTGCTGTTAGGTCTCCTGGGTACAAACAGGAGTGGGGTCACTGGATCAGATGGTGACTCATACGGTTTCACCTCCCAGGACCGATGGGGTATAGCACACTGTTTAGACCTCTGTGGCCCCGAAACGCGGTCATGGCCAGCACCCCGCGCCCTGCTGGCTCTGCCCCTGGGGTTGCCCCCCTTTCTCAGATCGCGACAATAGGCACAGAGAGGTAGGGTACCTGCGGCTGGGGTTCACCTGCTGGCAATCGGGCTGCAGGGTCTGGGGTCTGAGCTGCCTCAGCACGCAATGAAGATGACGCCATGCTGGCCTTGTCCCTGACGCTGCCCGCCACGGCCCCCCCCGCCCCGCCGCCCCCAGAGCTTTGAGGCCTGTGGTTTTGCTGCTCACACTTCAAAGGGCCAGTGGGGTGGAGCAGGAAGGCGCGGGAGGCCTGGGGTCATGGTTCCAGAGCTGGGGCCGGGCCAGGAGCAGTCAGCCCTGAGGGGTGTCCATCCCCATCCTGCCTCGTCTCCCAGGCACCCTTGTCCCCACGCTTCCTGCCCTCCCTCTCCCACCTGGCCGAGCCCTGAGGGGCCTTGGGCGGTCAGCCTGAGGCTAGGGTCTGCCGGGTCTGTGCGCCCAGTCCCTCTACTTCTACTCCACCCCCACCCTGCCTGACCCCCGAGGGTGCTGGTATGCAACAGTCATGGGAAGTGGGGGACAGAGGTGGTGACCGGGGCCTCTGGTGACCAAAGCCTCGAGCTATTTCAGGGTGCATTTTCACAGGGCTACGGTGCTGATCTCTTGGCAAGGGTGCTGTGAGGCACCCATAGGCCCCTCTGCTGAGTCAGCACTCTTGACCACAGGGGCGGCCCCACCCCTGCTCACAGCCCCAGGGCCAGCACTCAGGACCCCTGTGCGATCCTCGCCCCCACCAAGGCTCTTGGGCCCGGCCCCACCGGAAGCACAGCTTCTTGGCCAAGCCCTCCCCAGCCACACTGCCCACAGAGCTCCAGGCCCTCTGGTGAAGTCTACCGTCAGAGCTGGGCAGGGGCTGCCTTATGAAGGTCTGGAGGGGTCAGAGGGCCGAGGCCAGCTGAGAGGTCACCCAGCCTGCCGCGTGGTTTAACTCCCACTGTCGCCTTCTTGAAGGAGCCCTGGTGGTGCCGTTGGTACCCACCAGCCACTCCGAATCCACCAGCTGCTGCACTGGGGAAGGATGTGGCAGTCTGCTTCCGTAAAGACTACAGCCTTGGAAACCCTGTGGGACAGTTCTACTCTGTCCTATAGGGTTGCTATGAGTCAGGATTCAACCTGATGGCTGTGGGTTTGGTCGCCATCTTGAAACTCATGATCATTTTGGGCAAGGGACCCTGTTTCATTTTGCCCTGGGGTGGTGGGGACAATGCACTCTGGTGGTGGGGGTCCCGGGGCACGGGCGAGGGAGAGGCTGGTGGCTCCAGGACAGGCGCTGGTGGCAGAGTCCTGGTTTGTCTCAGCTCCGCCCCTCCAGCTGCCAGACATGGGCAGGACAGGGCCTCTCTGAGGCCGGCTTCTCGGCTGGTCCCCACCTCAGTGGTGCTGCATGAGGGTTCTATACACCCCGGCTCCATGTGGGAGATGATGCGGACCGCACACAGCAGAAAGGACAGGTGGTGGCTCCGTGTAAGGGCCCCAGCTTACACCATCTCTTGAGTCCTCCCCTCGCCCCTGTGCCCCCCAGGCTGAGCGGCCCCCTCAGCCTCTCTGCCCCTCGAATGCTGTTCCCTTGGCACCAATGCCCTCTGGCTGGCTTGTCCTTCAAGACGCAGCTGGAGTTTCGCCGTCTGCACGCAGCCCTCATTTGGGTGCCCCTGGCTCATGTCTTCGGCCGGAGGGCAGGGACCCCCTTCCTCTGGGCTGCTTCAGCAGGCACAGGGCCAGGCGCACCTCATAGGGTCTGCTCAGGTGTCTGGATGGTGTCTGGTGTTCATGGGGGCTCTGGGGTGCAAATGCAGTGCTTGGAGCCCAGGGGGACAGGCTTGGCAGAGTCCATCCATGTGCCGGATACGAGGTCATGCTGCTGGGCCCTGGCTGAGTTAGGTGTAGGCTCCGGGACCTCGTCCCACGCGGATGGCTTAAAACCAGCAGAAAGCTAATGAGCAGGTCGTGTACACAGAGTGCTGGGACAGATGGGGCGTAAAGGGGGCTGACAGCCTTAGTTTTTATTAGCCTGTTACCACCAAGTTTCCGGTTCAGTGGGAAGCTTGAATGTCGTCTGCTGTGTCCCCTCAACCCACTGCTACAGGTGACACGTGACGGTGGCAACACAACTGGATTAGCTTGAGTGTGTGTGTGTGAAAATGTGCATATCTGTGTGAGTGTGCAAGACCATGCATGTGTGTGAATGTAATCGCGTGAGCCTGCTGTGTGAGTGTGCGTATCTGTGTGAGTGTGCCAGTAAGTGTGAATGTGTGCAAGTGTGAGTGTGCGTGTGGATGTGTGAGTGTGCATATCTGTGTGAGTGAGCATGCTGTGTGAGT